TGGCAATTTGGTAGAGTATGTGTGAACACAAAGTCCACTATATATTCACAAACTCAAGTACATCGCAAAATTGTGCCTTTTATCGCATATTGTGCCTTCATAACTTTGACTAGCCCTAACCTGCTGTCTGACAGGTGTGTCATTGGTGAATGTACATGTATACTGTCTCCCTTCACAACTACATGCATGTAACACAATATTTACAGTGCACTTGCAGTGTATATAGCTAGATCAATGCACAGTAATCAGTAAATTGTGGCTGCCTCTGTCACATTGTCATATTCACGCGACGTACATTCTAAATCATCGAAAATGCCCAAACCTATTTCTACGTGTGCAGAAGAAGATTGAACACATTCTTTCCTTGCATCTGCGCCTTGATCCTTGAAGGATGATGGCGGTTCAACAAAACAGGTTTCTGGGCTGTGTTTATCACCATACTCCAATAGTACAATGTCATGTAGAGGGTCCGATCGACGATGTGAATTAACCGTATTGCGTGACTGATCCTTTCAATGTTCTAATCTTTCAAAGTGACGTTTCCTTTTCCACCTGGACTCCTCCTTGTTTTCCCTTTTCTCTCTAGCTCCTCTCTTGTACCTTCTTGATATTATTCACTTAAATGTGGGTCTTTGAATAAAACAAGTTGAGTACAACCAGTTCACGCACGTTGTTACATCTGTTCACGAATGGCGGCGATCGTGAGGGAGGCCTCGAGAAGAGTAGAGTAGAGCAGAGGGAAAGAGGTGGTTAGTACCGTACTGGTTACTGATCTTTCATGGAAGTGGCTAGGGAAAAAAAACATTAGGGAACGACTGCCAGGCCGAACTCTGAAGCCGACGACATGACAATACAATTATTGTATTGTACTTTTGTAGAGCAGGCGGTAGATAGTTTCACAGTATGCTGCCTGTGTAGTGGAGGCGAGCCGACAACGGCAAGCAGCATGGCTTCGGGTGACCGTGTGACATCACAACGGGAAGAAATAGTTGCCATGCGTGAGGTGATGAAAAAGAATGTCCCGTGGTGGCGACTATGGCTAGTATGGGGAGGGATGGGGTCCAAGCATACATGACTGTGAAGTGCTCACTCTCAGAATCACTGATGATTTGCAAAACTAGCACATGATGTGTGGGAGGTGAGTCTCTAAAATAATAGTAAATATCCTAACGGCAGTAATGCCACTGCCAAGTGCCTACCAATATCATTGTACATGGCATTAGATATTTTATGAATATCAAGAAGACATCCAGGAGCGATCACAGAATACACGACTGACGTTAGGAGAAGTCTACAAAAACTCCCCTGGGCCCTGGAGTAAAGAGGGTCAGAACAAGGTCTAAGACCCATACGCGTATACGGTTCAGATGGTCTCAACACTACTGGGACTCTACCAATGGCAATGCCAATGGATGGTTGTAGAAAGGTCACTGTTTCCGAACACGGTATCCTACATGCTGTCAAACCAACAACATAATATTATAATTATTATTGTTAATGTAGTCACAGTTTTTTGTTTGTTTTTAGTCACTCTAAAGAGATACAGCATGGAACAATCATGGTGTCAATGGCTGAACCGTGAACGTCACAATCAATCATGCGTAACTACAGCACTGTATGTACATGATGTACATGATGTACATGTAGATATTTTAGTACTACTATTTTGTAGTACAGCAAACAGCAGTGTCATGGTTCTGTAATGATAGTAATGACCATGATGACTGTAACTACATGGACGTGTCGTTGTTGACGTTGTTGTACGGTGTGTCTATGCCGACCGCTCAACTCCAAGTCTAACACCAGCAGTCACGGGGGTAATACTAAAGACTGTAACCACAGTGTGTCTATCAAGGTCTGTGCATGTGCCGACCGCTCAACTCCTAGGGTGGTCGCTGTGTACAGTGAGTCAGTCTCCAGTGACCAATAAATGCCGGCAATGATGACTCCAACTTTCCAAGACGGCAAGAGTCTTGCACTTGCAGTCCTGGTGTCACTTTGTAATTGCGGTGGCCCTCTGGAGCAGGTGGTTACCTTTTCAGAGTGGTCGCCTTGACAGGTGTAACTGACTAGAACATAGACTATAGTGTAACAATAGCGAGAGTTCCCAGATTGCCTAGACAAAGGCTAGAGTGCTCAACACCACAAGGATGGAGCATTACCACAAAGGCAGAAGAGAACAGAGGCAGCCGGCAGGTGTCTGAGGATTGCCTTAGCTTTGCTATGTGCATGAAGGGGCTCCCAAGGAGTACATGGGGTACTGCACTTGCCTGCGACCCGAGAGGTCGCGGGTTCGAGCCCCGCAGTCGCACATCTGACTGCAAAATCCCCACGACGCAGCTCACCAGATCAAGGTGTGGGTCCTCTGCACTCAGTAGAGTCAAGTCGGGCGAGCTGCAACTCCCGGTGCCGAAAGGCGGGTTAACGCCCCTACATGGCTACTTCCCCTTGTCTAACCCCCAAGACGAAAATGATAGTATTACTATTAGTAGCCGACTGGCCGAAATAATAAATAAATAAAAAAAGAAACAAAACAAAAAACGCAGCGTTACAACAATGACCTGGCTGTCTCTGTTCTCTTCTGCCTTTGTGCCTTGTGGGACTACAGTAAAACCTGCAAAGGCGACCACTCGGATAAAGCGACCACCTGTCCAAGGAGACCACTGAAACCAGAACCAAGGGATGCTATTTCCAGTCAAATGTCCCTGGATAAGGAGACCACCTGGTAACAGAGACCATATTTTGAAGGTCCCTTGAGCGGTCGTCTTAGACAGGTTTCACTGTATACTCTACATGTACATGACTTGTAGTATTACTGTACAGTAGTCTGGTAGTAGGGCGTTGTAGACCTACTGCTGTATAGTAGTGTTACGGATGATGTGACCACTTTGGCAAGCCCCCCTCCCCCCGCCCGCCATCTACCCTTCTTTCTGCCTGAACTGAGTCTGCCCGTTTGAATATCTATAAACAACATAAACAACAACAGCGACGACGATGACGACAGCAACAACACTAACCCCGGCCCGGGCCATGGCCCAAGACTTCCTTAGCCGCGTGACAACATGAATCATGATGCAGTTGAAGGATGCATGCAGTGAGATTAGTGTGAGCTGAGTTTGTACAGCAGCGTGCTACGTAGTGTCGGCTCCCCATAACCTGATAACTCAGTGATACAGTTGACTCTCTACTCTAGTACTAGTAATGCACAAGCCACAACTGCACTAGCCAACCATGCCTGAGTGAGATTCAACACCACAGCGCGCTTAGTTGTTTTACTCACTATCGGCAGAACCGGCTTTATAATATTATTGTAAGGCCGAGTAAAAAAAATTACTAGATGATCGTCCTTTTTTTTGGAAAAATCGGGGAGGGCGGGAGGATTTTATTTTTATTTTTTTACTTTTTACCCTCTCATGCACACAGTGTACACAACAACATTAAGGTTTTTTTCTCTTTTTTTCTTTTTTTTTCTTTTTTTCTTTTTCTTTCTTCAGCAGATCGATACTGACGTTGTGATATACTAGTAGTATGTGGTCCATATAGTAAAGAAAGTATTAAACAAAGCGTGCACATGTTTCCTGCATCCGCGATCGGTAAAAAACCAACGATTTCGGCAAAAACTCACGATTTAAAAAATAAAATATTTCTTGGGGCGCTGACAAAAACTGGGGCGGACGGGGACGATCATCTAGCTTTTTTTTTTACTTGGCCTAATATTACTATAATTACTATACCACTAGTACAGTGGAACCTGTCTAAGGCGACCGCTCATGGGACCTTCAAAGCGTGGTCTCTGTTACCAGGTGGTCTCCTTATACAGGGTCAATTGAATGGAAATAGCATCACTTGGTCATGGTTTCAGTGGTCTTCTAGGACAGGTGGTCGCCTTATACGAGTGGTCGCCTTGACAGGTTTTACTGTACATGATTGTATGACATTGGAGATAACGATCATAGTATAATTATTAGACATGTATTATTGTTGTTACCGTCTGGAGTTTCAGTGCTATTACTAGTACATGTATTACAGACTAATAATCAGACAACAGAGTCTGCAGATTAGCCAGCCATGAAACCCTCTCTCTCTCTCTCACACACACACACACACACACACACACACACACACACACACACACATGTGCACACACACACACGCGCGCACCACACACGCACACACACGCATGTGCACACACACACACCACACACACAGTGACACACACACACACACACACAAACACACACACCACACACACGCACAGTGACACACATGTGCACACACACACACACACACACACACATGTACACAGACACGTACACACTGTTGCTACGGCCCTTGTTGGTCACATATCCGCCGGATGAGTACGCGTGTCCCATGCAACATAGGGATCCACGAATACAAGCCAGCAATGGTTTCTCAGCAGTACAAGAAAGCAAAGAGAAATGAGGTCACAGGCATCGAACACGAACACGAAGAGAAACGAGAACGAATGAGGACATAGACAGCGAAAACACATGTAGTTCAAAAACGCAGCCAGTGATTGTATATATTCATGTATGTGAGTAAAACAGAGATGTTCAAGAGAGAGACAGAGCTAGTTCAAGAGAGAGACAGAGCTAGTTCAAGAGGACGGAAAAGGTGTTTTAACTCTGAGCTTCACGCACTAACTTCAGCGACCATCAGAAAACATGTATGTGTGTATACAGGTGTGACAGTAAGCACGGTTTGTTCAGCCGTGGACAGCACAACAAAAAGTTGCAACAGCAGCAGCCAGGAGTATCCGAATGGGATAGTACATGTCCATTGTACAGGCTTGTTCATTGGCTTGAGGGCTCGAACGATGCAAACGGGAAATGTCTGAAGTACAAGTACACGAATTGTACTTGTAAGTTACCAGACCAGAAAATTTCTGGTCAAAATCTTCAATTTATTTTAAATGAAGATGTTCACCAAGATCCAGCACACAGAGTAGAGTCAGCACACAGAGGAGAGTCAGCAACCAGTTGAGGTTTCTATACCAGATACGTCTCTACAGCTGCCGATATGGACAGAAACGGGTGATGATAAAGAATATATATATATACAAAGAGCGGCGGCCGTCGCAGCAGCAGCAGGGGGCACCTCATACGACTGCGGCAGCACTGCATACGGAGAAGACATGGACAACGGGACAATCTTTAAAAATAGAAGAAGAAACGAAGCGAGATCATTCACGTGGCACAGCAGAGAGAAATAGCAAGACTCATCAGGCGCACGATCAGCAGCAGCATTCTAGACTATACACGCGTTCGTTGTGAGAAGATACTTTAACATGATTTTTGCTAGGTAGGTGCCTGGAAAGAGATGAAAGTGCGTAAAAGAACAGCATGCATGCTATGCACATGGGACTATATAGCACTGATTGTAGCTGTGTTTATATAGACTTACAATAAGCGTGGAGGAGCAGGGAGATGATTATTAGCGACACGGTGACTTTGTGAGCGTCGGCAGTGGTACACAGTGTTCCCACCGCTGCTGCAGCTGGTACTGCGGATACATTGAGGTGCAGAGCTCAAGCAGCGCTACTAGTATTGCATAACGTTACACAAGAACAGGGCTATGCACGGACATGTACAGGGAGTGACTACGGTTTTGGATGGCCACGCCACAGGCGATTCTGTCACTGGGAGCGGTTCAACAGCGCATGGCCAGTCTCGAGTCTGTGGAGTGATTAGTCTGGTCAATGTATGTACACGGCTGGACGTGATGGGAGAGAAGGTAGCTGAGGCATTGGTTATCTAGGAGCAGGGCGTCGCTAGTCGTACACAAGTCCGCAAATTTCTATACAATATCCGTAACATGCACAAACGTTGCCATTCACTATATATATAATATAACACGCACACACCATTACACGCACATAGCGGTACACGCACATAGCGGTACACGCACACAGCAGCACACGCACACAGCAGCACACAGCAGCACACGCACATAGCAGCACACGCACATAGCAGCACACGCACATAGCAGCACACGCACATAGCAGCACACGCACATAGCAGCACACGCACATAGCAGCACACGCACATAGCAGCACACGTACACGCACGTAGCAACACACACGCACGCACACACACAAACAAACAAGCACGCATATTTACACGCATGCACGCACGCACATACACAACCACATGCACGCGGGAACCCGCACTGTTTATGAACAAATACGGGACCAATAGTCGTCTCAAGTCGTGGCATGTATTGCAGAGCTGAGAAGCCGTAGCATGTATTGCAGAGCTGAGAAGTCGGCCAGTATATCGCCTTGTCACTTAGAAATGCTTGGTCGCACGCACATCACTGCTTTTAAAGGTCCTTGCCCAGCACTTAACATGGTGGCAAGCCATCAACCGTATCAAGCATCTACTGTCCAAGTACATTATGCACAAAGTCAGGAGTCGGAGTGTCCAGGTACGTATCGAAACACTACAATCAGTCGTCACTCCAGGTGCCGTCATGTCTGGTCCATTCCACGTAGTCAAATACTAGTGGCCTTCAAGCTGGATGCTGATACCCTGCAAGGCTGCTGTGCGAGGCAAATTGGAACTTGTCTGGTCATTGATTATCTGCGCGTTCATTACTCAAGGATCATTCTGTGAAGCAGCATGAGCAGGTATAAGCTGGGCATTCAGCTCCGGTGCTATTAAGCGCTCTCGAGATGTAAAGTTGAACAACGGTGGCAGGGGCATCCCGGATGGCAAGCGTGTGTTTGGATCGCGTAGCTCACTGAAGAAGCTATGGGCGCATGCTTCCAGTGGCTTCAGCCTCCTCTTCGGCACGTATTCTAGGATCCTCGAAGCGAGGTCAATGGCCTCCGGTGGCGTTCTGGGACGGAAGACCTTGGGCCAAGGGTGCGCTCTGACCGACGGGAATTTGAACTCGGTGTAGTTGGAGTTCATCTGGTCGATCTGATCGCGGCTGGGCGTTCCCAGCACTTTGATGATCTCCACGAGTTGATCCACACCGCTGCTGCCCGGGAAGATGGGCTGCCCTAGCAGAAGCTCGGCCAGCACACAGCCGGCTGACCACACGTCAATATCGGACGTGTAGTTTGTTGCTCCGAATATCAGCTCCGGTGCGCGATAGTAGCGAGAGCAGATGTACGATACGTTCGGCTCACCTGCGACCAGTTGCTTAGCACTGCCGAAGTCGCACAGCTTCAAGATACCCGACTCTGGGTCGACGAGAAGATTCTGCGGCTTGATATCTCTGTGACATATCCCCATGGAGTGGATGTAGGCCAGCGAGCGGAACAGCTGGTAGACGTACAGGCGTACGTATAGAAACGGGACGCTTTGTCGCGACTTGTTGTAGTGCCGAGAGACACGATACACGGTCTCGGGGACAAACTCCAGAACCAGATTGAGAAAGAGCTCATCTTTCTCTGTTCCAGTGTAGAAGAAACACTTGAGCTTGACCACATTGCAGTGCTCCAGCGTACGCATGATTTGCAACTCCCTGTTCTTAAATCGCCGATCCTGCAACACCTTTTTAATCGCGATTTTTTCGCCTTTTGTGCCTTCCAGGTGCAGGCGCGCCGAGTACACCACGCCGAAGCTGCCCTTTCCCACCACCGTCAGGTCGCTATAGCTGATCTTGTATTTCTGGTCGGGCAGACTTCCCGAGGTTGCCGTCACCTCGATCACTTGCGCGCTTCCTCGCTCTCTTTGGACTGTACGCTGTGCGGACGCGCCAGCCGCCGCGGAGCCTCCCGATGATCCATCTTTGCTTGGGTCAACGAGTGAAGGAACCCTGGGTCTTCTGTTGGACGACATGCCCGACAGTGGCTTCTGCAACGCCACTGGCTTCACCGAGGAAGCTGACTGGGGCCCCCCGTCACTAGCAATCAGTGTTCAATAGGCGAAGTCCTATTGAAGGTACAATCGGACAGTGCAACGTCTGCTCAAGCACCGATGTCTTTTCACGAGTCTTCCCAGCAACAAAACAAATGTTTTCGACGACAATAGAAGCGATGCAGGCGCGTGCCCTTCGCACACGCGCGCCTCAACACACAGCACAGACACAAAGGAGAACACTGCCGTCGCGCACCATCCACCTGCTAGAGCGTCTGAGCCAGAGAATCAGCCAGGACCGAAGATCCCATAGGCAGCCGATCTATTATATTCCATATCGGCCAAACACTGAAACAGTGAGTGTATGGACAAGGACTTGTAAAAACGACTTCTGAGTTTCACTTTTTTTATAGCTGGTGCGTGAAAATAGTGTCACTTCTACTATGCGGTACTGCTAGCGCTAGCGCTACTCCGCTAGTGCCAGTACCAGTGGCTCTGCTTGTAATTGTATGTGTGTCTGCTAATGCTACTCACAGCACACAGTACAGTGACACAACCACACTCCCATTCTCACTCTCTCAGCTACACTACAATACACTGCAGCCAGGTCAGTACCTGCAAAGCTAGGTGAGGTGTGACTTTTGAAGATCACGCTACAAGCCTACACTGAGTAGTAGTAGTACTATTACTAGTATAAGTATAAGTATTAGGGAGCTCTCGCTTCAAGTTCAAACGGTAGTGTAGATCTACAGACTACGGACTGCATGCACTGGTGGCAAGTGACCCGTGATTTTCGTGCTCGACTGAGCTGCAGCATGCACTGATTCTTGCGGTCTCGCAGCTCGCAGCGTTGGTCTACAGACTACACTGCACTGACTCTGTACATCCACTATGATCCAGGGGTAGTACTGGTACACGTGTACACGTACAGTGCTGGCAGCTGAAATCCGACCCCCTGGAGCGGTGGGTTCACATTCTTTGCGATGTGAGCGGCGCACCGCTCAGGGGGTCGGATTTCAGTTGTCAGCACTGTAGATTCTGAGACTGAAGTACGCTTTTGTGATGATGTAAGTAGAGGCTATCAACACGTATCAAAGGCACCGCGTCAAGTAACTAACTGTTAGTGTTACTTAGTTTAGTTACAGTTAGTAGGTCAGCGCAAATAATTCCAACCAGGTGAGCGCAACCGTTTCAGCGCCTAGGGAAGTTGAACGAACCGGTAGCGCCGAATTTTAAAAGCGCCACAAATACTTCAGGGCCTCAGCGCCAGCAAAAATGGTACATACATGTAGTACCTGCGCCTTGTACTTGTACTGTTGTAGAAGTAAAGCCTAAAGGTGATGTGCTGCTCCCCGAGTGCGGTCACCATGGAGTTACCCTCAGGAAGAAGCTGGTGAAGAGGGAGCTACAAGTAGACATATGCGGATAATTGCCGGCAGAAAAATTGGCAGATTTCGGTACTTTTTCTGGTAAGTTTCATGCATGTTTGGTATGTGGATAAAGAAATGGAGCAGAATTCGAGGAATTGCCCGCCATTAGGGCTTGGCGGATAATGCCGGCAGAAAAATTGGCAGAATTCGGTACTTTATCTGGTAAGTTTCATGCATGTTTGGTATGTGGATAAAGAAATGGAGCAGAATTCGAGGAATTGCCCGCCATAAGGTTTGTATGGTTCTGCCAATTTCGGTGCAAAAAAAGCAGAATCTGCCACCTTTTCGAGCATTATCCGCCAAGGCCTACCCGCCATAAGGTTTGTATGGTTCTGCCAATTTCACTGCTTTTCGAGCAGAATCTGCCACCTTTTCGAGCATTATCCGCACACCCCTAGCTACATATTTTTATTTTTATTTTATTTTATTTGAAAACCCAGAATTGATTTTCTCGTTCCTATCATATGAATAGGATGAAGGCCGCAGACATCACGCAACTACGTTACTTGTTTGACATGTACTACTGTGTATTTTATAACAAAAATATTAAAACCCAGAATTGATTCGTGTTCGATATTGAATTTTTATTTATTTATTTTTTTACAAATATTGTTTTTATTCCATTTCACATTTTTCATTCGTGTTGGGTTTAACTACTCACTGTACTGATACATGGTGATGATTGTGCTTTGCTTCGCCCGTAAAAGAGGCCTTCCCTAACACCCCTAGCTACAAGTCATGTACATGTAGCTCGGGAGAACAGACAATGACGGACAAAGACGAGGAGCTTGATGCAGAGTGTCCAACCGTCCAGATTTGGGAGAAAATGTCCTGCGTGCGTCCTGCCGAGAACGCCTTTTGACAAAAGGTGTCTAAGATATCGACACTTTAGTTTCACTTTTCACGTCTCGACTCGGACAACGGATCACGAATTCACGATCAAACGGAAAAGATGACTGATGCGTGCACTCATCCGACACCGTCGTCACCGAGCTCAATCAGCTCATGCTTATGCGACTTGCCACCCAGGCAGCAGTACCCCATAGGCATACATGTAACACATCAATGTTGTGGAATTTTTTTTATAGTCGCAACACAAACAGGCGATGGCGCCTCCTTTTATACATGTACATGCAAGCGACATGACAAATTTTATATTTCAGTAATGGGGAGGGGAGGAGAAAATCACAAGTGAAAGAAGTCACCGAAGGTAACTGAATATGTTACAGATAGAGCTGCGGGGAAAAAAACCCTGTTGAAAAACCGAAAACACGAAATGTAACTCACCACACTCCATCATTCACCCCAGTGTCTGGAGATATGTGGATTTTGTAGAAGAAAAAAAAACTGACCGATTTGCTGTCGAGAAGTTCATTTCCTAACATCCTTGTAAAACATTACATGTACATGTACATGTATGTAGGTACCAATAGGATAGGGTTTGATCAGATAAAATCTTACACAAAATTAGAAAGGATTGACCATTGGTGAACAGATAAAAAAGTGACCTACTTTGAATTCTTCGACGCTTTCGAGAGAGCACTGAAAATGGGCGTGACAAGGTTCACAGCGCAACATGGGCGTGAGCTAGGCCTTTGTGGATAATGCCGGCAGAAAAATTGGCATAATTCGGTACTTTTTCTGGTAAGTTTCATGCATGTTTGATATGTGGATAAAGAAATGGAGCAGAATTCGAGGAATTGCCCGCCATAAGGTTTGTATGGTTCTGCCAATTAATATTTCACTGCTTTTCGAGCAGAATCTGCCACCTTTTCGAGCATTTTCCGCCAATGCCTGCCGTTAGCTTGTTCCAGAGAATGGCACCAATGAACTGGATTGTACCTCTACTAGAACGGTCCAGAAGGACCGGGCCAGAAGGGTACATGATTGTACTTGTAATAGGTTCTGGACAGCTCCACGGGTGCGATCACTCTGTGTTCCGAAACAGGACACTTGGACAGCTTTATGCCAGCCAGTACCACGCTGGGCCATGGGTGCTTCAGATCTTTCGTTCAATTTAGAACGAATAGGAAAGTATATGTTTTTGTTTAGGAATGAACTCCTTGAGCCTCTTGTACGGGCAAAATATCACATTTGTGAAGAATCAACACAATTACATACATGTAAACGAATCATCAGATACAGCAATGATTATACAGACTCAGTAGGATCACTGTTCACTGGATGCGTGCCTCCAAGTTGCTGGAGAGGGTAGTGCAACACCAGTTCGTCATTTGGACTTGACCCAGGCATTACCCGAAACACAATTTTCCTTCCGCAAGAAATGTTCCACGGAAGACGCCCTCTGTGTGCTGACTGATAATCTGCAGAAGGCGAGAGACAGTGGCAAGACCACAGGGCTGTGCCTATTAGACATGTCGAAGGCTTTTGGTAAAGTGCACCACGACAAGTTAATTCAAGACCTCCTTGCGGTTGGAATTTCTGGAAAAGCCCTTAGTTGGTTCGTCGACTACTTGTCCGGCCGCAAGCAGCAGATCCTCATCTCGCCTTCAACCAGCCCTGCTCTGGCTTGCACCTGCGGAGTGCCCCAAGGCTCTGTTCTCGGCCCTGTCCTCTTCAGTATATACACACGCGATGTCCCTTTGGTTTCCTCGCCTGTGCCAAGTGTACAATTTGCAGATGACATAGCCCTGTACGACTCCCAGGCCTCAGCGGCGGAAGCGTCCAGAACCCTCACCACAGCGGCAACTGCTCTGGCCGGTTGGCTGAAGTCCGGAGGCCTTATCTTGAACGCCACCAAGAGCCTGGTTCTGACTATCTCTCCCCAGCAGCATGTACAGGAAGTAACACTAACAGTCAAAAGCGGCGACTGTCTCCTCCCCTCAGCGTCTTCTGCGCGCTACCTCGGCGTTCACCTTGACAATCGCCTAGATTGGGACACCCATGTAAACTATGTGGTCACCAAGGTTGCCAAGAAAATTGGCGCCTTGTGGCGGGCACGCCGAAGCCTATCAAGACGCTCTCGTCAGGTGTATGTGAAGGCGGTCATAATGCCCGACCTGCTTTATGGCTCCTGCTGTTTTTCAGCCGCAATGCGAGAGGGTCAACTGAAACGACTGCAAACCACGCAAAACAGAGCCATCCGCTGTATCGATGGAAACCCGCCCCGGACAGCCATGCAGCCGCTGCTCACTGCTCACTCCCTGTACCGTGTCAGCGAGCTCTACAGGCAGAAAAATTGATCACCATCTGGCGGTGCATCAACGCCCGCACCAGCCCTGTGCTCGCCCAGCTTCTGACCCCGGCACAAGGCACCCCTACCCGCCATCAGCAGTCAAATGGCCTACTAAGCCAGGCAAACCGCAGCCGCCGCGGTCAGCGGAGATTTTCTGTTGCTGGTGCTCTGCTGTGGAACGCTCTCCCTGGTGAGGTCCGCACAATTACCCGGCTACCTGAGTTTAAGCATGCATGTGTACCATACGCCTGTAGGGAGTAGTTCGAGTTGCTGCTGATTGCTCTGCTCTCCCTCCCCGTGCAGTTCAGTAACCCGCACGTAGTATCGCAGATACATCGTATTCTCTCTCTCTCCCCCCGTTTACCCGCAGTTATTAGTATCCTATTCTCTTACTATGTGCTTCCATAGCTTTTACTATGTTCTTCCATAGCCACTTCTAGGCTAAGCCTTCGCCGTCATTTTATTGGGTCGTCATCCCGTTTGAATGTGCGAAGTGAAATAAAAACCAACCAACCTCCGCCACCAGGCCCACCACTACTGGCACTAGCACAGCAGGGGACTCAGGCACGGCAGGAGCAAACATGCTCCTAGATCCTTGGCTTGAGCCAGAAAGTCCAGCACAATCATGTAGACTGGCCCTGCGCCTGCGGGAGTAGGCGGACAACCAGGGAGTCGTAAAAGGCTACTAAAAGCTTTTACGACTCCCTGCGGACAACTTGCGCAATAAATTGCGGCAGAAAACAGCAAAAAAAAATGCCGCGAAAGATGCGGAACTAATTACTTGCCAGGAATTCGCGGAATTATTTGCAGAAAATTGCGGATTTGTTGTTGTTATT